ATCTATCTATGTTGTCATGGTTCTAATTATTTTTTCTAATTGAATTTACTTTTTTCCAAATAACATCAATACTGAAGATCTAAAACTATTGTGATAATACCGTTCCCTAGCGGTTCTTAGTTCCTTCGTTAACTGGTTGCGATAAGCTTTAAACTTTGTCAAATCATCTTGATTTCTTGATTTGTTAAATCTTTGGAATAACTTGTTTTTTCCATTAATTTTCGATAAAAGACTTGGAGTAATCCATGTTTTCCGAATTCTACGTGATTTTTTAGTTTTTTTTGTAAGGAAAATGTTTTATATAGAGGCGTTTAAAACTTTCTAGGAACGTATCGTAAGCTACATCAGAGTCTGTTGCAGCAAAAACATTGTTCCAGTCAGCATTTTCAATATCATTACGAAACATATCCAGATTATAAGGGGTGATATGCTGAAAGTGCCTAAATGGCTCTGCATTTTTTTTTTGTGAGAAAGACTATCATTTACGCATAGGAATATAGGTAGGTGATCGCTTATATGGGTGGTAAGTATACCACCTTTCAGACATACGTGATCAATGTTTGTAATAAAAAGGTCAATAAGAGTTTCCCTGTGCACTGTAATTCTTGTTGGTCGAGTTATTATATTAGCGTATCCATACGTTGTAAGTAATATTTCAAATTCAGATCTAGGCGTAGTATCAAGTAGCATATTAATATTTAAATCTCCTCCAATGATTACATTCAAGTTATTATCACTACCGAATTATTACTGTAAATAAAAAACACAATTTAATTAACAACTTTTATTGATGTAAAAGTCGCCATAAAAACACTAAACCAACTTAATTTTTTTTTAGTTGGCTAAAGCATTTTATTTTTCTTTCGCGTTAGTGTGGCTTGCTTGCAGCAAGGCCATACTTATGTAGTTCTCGTGTTTTTAGGGGCGAAGCTCCTTAGGGGCTTGCGATGTCCGTATGTCCGTCCGCCGTCGGGTGGACGTGCTCCTGCTCGTGAGCTCACGCGCTCACGTGCTTACGAGAACGTGAGAACGTGCTCCCGTGCTCGTGTAAAGCAAAAAAACCAAAAAAAAAACAAAAAAAAAACGCATCTTTACGTGGTGAATGAGTTGATTGGGGCGAAGCTCTGTTGGTGGTGCTTGTCTGCGTAGACGATGAGCCGCAGCATGCCGAGCCTTTCGTTCGTTTTCATCCATGTCAGAAAGAGAATGTGTGGTATCGAACGTGGTTATATACGCATTTGAGCATTTGACCGCAGCCTGACATGGATGAAAACAAACGAAAGGCCCGGCATGCTGCGGCTCAGCGTCTACGCAGACAAGCACCACCAACAGAGCTTCGCCCCGATCAACATCATTCACCACGTGGAAATGCGTTTTTTTTGTGTGTGTGTGTGTTTTTGTTTTTGCTTTTTGCGTTCTGATTTGCTTGCAGTAATACATTGCGTGACTAACAAACAAAGTGGCAGGTAGGAAGCAGGCTCAATAATCCGATTTCCTCAAAACGGCACCGCTTTTTGCGCATGCTCAACCTGATATAAATCTTTCTTCCTTGAATTTTTTTCAGCACAAACCAAATGCGCATAACAAGCAACAAATAATAAACCAACTCTAAAAACAATACATATATATGGATATATATGCTAAATTTCTAGGCAATTGTGTTGCATACGTGAAGTGTTCTACCATCGCAAACGTTTAGCGACACTCTGAGCTTCCAACCGCCAAACGCCTACGTTCACAGCGCTCTTCATCAGTTAGTTTAAGGCGCTCCATGTGTACACTTGATACTTGTTCATAGAACGAAGCGATACTACCGCAGATCGGCCGGATAAAACTGGCGATCATCCAGAGCCGAATTCCATACTGGCGAGCTTCTCTCCCTCAGTGCGGAAATGCGGCCGATCTCCTCTTCGCCTACCCCCCTGGCTAAATACATTTCCCCCTCGTTGACCAATCAGCGTCCAGCACTTCACTACTCCTCTTCCGCCCGCCGACCAATCAGTGTCGAGCCTCGCGGCCACGGTTTTATCTGAGCTTCACGAAGTGCCGAACACCTAGCCAATGAACGTGTCACGTAAAAACTAGTTTCGTGATTATTTTTGCTGGAAAGGTTCGATTTAAATCATCTTAGTAAAAATTTTCTAATTAAAAGCGAGATTGAAATCATGCTTTAAATCGCGATTAGAATTTTGATATAAATCGCGATTTAAATCATCTCGGCTTTCATTCGGCATTCTGTCGAGAAGTGACTCGGAAAAATAGGCGACAGTGACGTTTGTCGTCTGAGTCCCTTGACAACGCAGATTCGTCTGCGATGCCCTCCTGTAATTCACCGCCCCAAACTTTCTGGCTAAGGGACCGGAGTAGGCGTCTGTCGCATCATCGAGGGCTGGTAAGAAAAATAGTGACTATAAACGAGGAAAAACTCAATGAATACACTTGGCCAAGAATTTAAATAGAGAAATAAATGTTAGACTAAGTTTTAAAAAGCCCTCAGTTGGACGAATACATATAACTCAATTTGAAATTTAGTATGTTGCTAATTATGGCGTTACACCACAATTGTGACCGCGAAAGCTCACCAGGCATAAATCAAAGCGCCTGAAAACTTCGGCACATTTGCGCTGTGAAAAGTGGCTAATGAGAAGGATACAACTAATGCTGACAAAGTACATGATAACGCAAAGGAATTTAACAGACATGAAGCCGGAAACTAAGAATGGTAATGCTGGTGATTACAATGTTCAACAATGCCGAAAGACCCCGTCACGACGCAGTTTCTTTCGTTTTTTTCTGGTACTATATATATATATTTTTTTTTTTTTGCGCACTTGGAGCGCGTCGCGGCGCTGTTTATTTAGGCGCATATCTTTTTACGACGGTTCATTGGAAAGACCGTGGCGAGCCGCGGGTCGGTCGGAAGACCTCCGCGAGCCAAATCTGGCCCACGGACCGGGGTTTAGAGACTTCTAGGCCCTGGAGCATGGCCCCGATGTCACTTTCTCTATGTCCAAGGACATCTGCAGAGTTCTTTACCATCGGACATCTTTAGAGTTCCATACCATAGGACATATTTAGAGTGCCTTATCATTGTTTCATACCATAGGGCATGCGCACTGTTACTTTCCATACTACATCTACTGAATTCTTTAAAAAGAGCTCTAAAGATGTCCTATGGTAAAGAAGTCAGCAGATGTAATATGAAAAGTAACAGTGCAGGTGTCCTATGTTATGGAACTCTATGCAGATGTCCTATGATAAGGCACTCTAAACATGTCCTACGGTAAGGAACTCTAAAGATGTCCGATGGTAAAGAACTTTGCATATGCCTAAGTAGGGAACTCTAAATATGTCCCATGGTAAAGAGTCTCTTCACCATAGGACATCTTTAGGGCTCTATACTATAGGCAAGCGAAGTTCTTTACCATAAGACGTCTTTAGAGGTTCTTACTATAGAAATTTGTAGATTTGCTTATCATAAGACATTTGCAGAGTTCTTTACCATTTGACATGTGAAGTGTTACTTACCATATATCTGTAGAGTTATTTACTATAAACTTTTAAGTTCCTCATCATGGGACATATGTAGAGTTCCTGCAGTTGACGTTCCAATAGAGACGTTCTCTACTAGACAGAACCCTTTTTAATGCCTCCGGACATCTGTGAAGAACTAACTACTTCTGCGGCTTCGTTAAGGAGTCTCAAACATTAAGGCGACCACGTCCAGAAAGAAGTGCGGCGCATGTCTCTGACAAGTTAATCACTTAACTGGTGGTTTTCTGTAATGAAGTCTCACCACCTTCAATTTATAAGTTTAATTAACGCTATTTCTTTTTCTTTTTTTCATTTTGACCGGCGTGTAGATGTTCGCACCAATTACCATCAATTAGAAGCGTGTTTCGAGACCCTCTGCAAACGTCATTGCACCATGTTTACCGACGCTTAGAACTAATTAGCTGCCAGGTATAGAGCGTCAGGCATCGGTTGAAAGGGCTTTGGTTGGCGCCGTTCGCTGTCATAGATTATACTCCGTTTCAGTACATTAAACCAGAGCGACTCTACAACATTCACCATTCTCGCGCGCCGACAAACGGTTATTGATTCCGGTGTGATCACTCTCTGCTGTGCAATTTGAAATATCGATCGTACATTCGCGACATCCTTCGAAGGTTCTGAAGCACCGTGTTATTTATATGTTAATTGCATCTCCGTACGGTTAAACATAGCTCGGAGTCGCAAACACCATTCTCGACGTTCGTTGCGCCTTTATTCAGAATTTGGTGCTGTATTCGTGCACAAACGTTCGGGTAAAACGTATCGTTTAAATTCGCAACTTTCATTCCGAAGAACAAATAACAACTTTTTCCATGTTATTTCAAGCATTTCGTGTGTTGATACCTTTCAGATATAATCCAAAAGTGGCGCACGTAAAAGGCACAAACGGGAAATCGCTACCGATAAACAGATGTTTATGTCTCACGCCTCTGTCCTTCACATTTTTCGTTTTGCTTATTATTTCCATTTAAACGTCAGTTTTATCTCCATATCGTCATTTTCAGTTCTTCTGTTTCCTTCTCTATCCCATCTTTCCCCCTTCTTCGAAACAAAGAGAACAACAAACAAACAAACCAACCCGGCACATCCACACAACTAGACCGCCATGCTTTTCGGAAGCGTTCATCGCTTGCATGAGAGTAAATAAAAATAGCAGGACAAGCTCATCCAACAAAGCCCTCCACTCTCTCCACTTTAGCAGAACGAACGCTGGAAAGGAGGCGTAAGGAGAGGAGGAAACCGCCAATCACTGCGTGTATGGAGCTTTCTGGGAGCTTTTGTCCCGCATTTCCGTTCACATGCGCGACCTTGTCTGCTCTGCGGTAACTTGGGACCTGAGCTCGAATGGCCATGAGGCAGGATCTTGGCTACGCTGATCGGTGTCAGCAGAGGTCGGTGCGGTCGGGACAAGCGATCGGCGTGAGACTGAGGGAGAGACCGAATACCTTGATCTGATCCTGTTCCCCGGCGTACTCGAGGCTCTGGAAGATGTTCCAGGAGCACCGCTTGCGGATCTCCTGGCGCGCCAGGTAGCGCCGGTACCAGCGCTGGATCAGCAGTGCCGCTTTCATGGCTGCAAACAACGGGAAAAGAAAAAAAAAAAAAAAACATATTGAGCGCACGTTCCGCAGAACTTAGACGGTGCGCTTCAGGCGGATACCCGGATAACAGTACAGAGCGGTTAACCCGTATACCTGCATAGGCAACACCGTACAATAGGCGCAGACAGCTGAAGAAGCCCGGGGCGTGATCTATACACCAACTCATCTCTGTGACGTCACGGCGCGGTGGTGGCGCGTCGGTCGCACTTCCGGTCTGGGGCTGTGGGCAGAAGTCCCCATGCCAGACGTGTATTCCTGCGTTGTTTTGAAAGGAACCAGACAAAAACCTGCCTTCTCGTCAAAACGCCGCTACTGGGGCCGTACCAAAAGTGTCGAGACAGGTTTGAAGGTCAGTTTTCACGTGCTCGGTTCGTCCGAGAATCTGGATATGTGCTGTGAAACGGAAAAAGCAGATGCCGTCGGACAACGATTGCTTGGGCGGGAAGCACTTTGGGTTGAATTCACGGATACTTGTGGTCATCAGATTTATTTGTTTTGTTTCAACATGAACGCCAGAAAACTGTCAAGTTGCGCGGACCACCTGTGGACTACGTTCAGTGCGTCTTCAAGTTCAAACGGCCGCCTGATTGTTCGAATTGTCGTCTGCTCTTTCAAACGTTTCTGCTTGTCGTCTGCTCTCTTAGACGACGCCGGTTCGTAGACCAAACGTTGGCCCGGTACTTGCGATAAGAAGTGAGTGCAGGCCTCAAAAGACTTCAATTTGAAGGTTGGTAAGCAGGCTTGATGTAAACAGTAGATACAAGGAGATGTTGGTCATTGTTACCAGTGACCAACACCGCCTTGTTGTTATGCCTAATTCAGTTGGTCCGATTCTGCTTGCGATTTTCAGTATCGTCGTCGACCATCTCAGCTACGGTTCACGCTTTTGCAGCCCGAGCGGCGTCGCGACTGAAAATTCTGAGCCAAATCTCATCATGCGAATCAGGCTTTAGGGTACAATCTGCGGCGTCCATGCGGAATGAATCGCCGCGTGTCACATTATTCACGCGAAGTTTTGCGGTGTAACGAGCCTCGGTAATTTCGCTGACGCCGCTCAAGATACAGACATCGCCAGGAAGACGTAGAACCAACAATTCAAACGCGAAAAAGGGCAGGGGGACTCGCACCGACGCCGATAACATCGCATTTCGATGGTTTGTTTATGGGCGACGGCGAGCTTCTTGCCCACACCCCCATCGCGCATGCGCGGCGCCGGTGGCGTCCGCTAGGGGCGCTCCGGTTTGTTTGTAAACATGAGTTGGTGTATTATGTTCACGACTCTTACTTTCTGATTGGCTCCTCGGCTTTCTTATCAGAAAATGCCGCAATCTCATTGGCTGAGGAGCGATAATGAGATGCACGGGGCTGACCACGCCCTCCGTTTCTTAAGTTGTCGATGACGGTATAGTGTTGTCTATAGGATAATGAAAGCCTTTGAACGGCCTCCTATACCTCAATGGAACGTCGTCACACTCTAGGACGGCGCCTACTTAGCGATTAAGCCCGAGCTCGGCGCCGAGAGTACTTGGACGTTTCTCTGCCCTCTCAGCAGGGCCGAATCCTCGTTCATTAGGAACCAGTAGATTTTTGGCAGCCGTAGAAGGCGCAAGGAAGTCATTGCTACGACTCTGAAATTCGTTCACCCTTATGCTTAGGCTATAGAAGCTCCGCCTTCAGCGCGAGCTCGCTGGCTTCCGCAGTGCTTTGGTTGTGCGAGTTTGCGCGTTCACACTTGTGTTAACAAGGGCAGAAACCTCGCGTTGTACGCGGAGCTTCTAGTCTCAGCTTAAGGGTGAACCGAGTATAGCAGACGACGCCGAATTTCGGTGCCCTGACGCAACCTGACGCCACTGCATCTTCTGCTGAAAAAGCAGACGAAACTTCGCATTTGTGTCTGTCTAGCCATTATATCTTCCAATCAAAGTTCGGCACAGCGACGTCCCTGCAGTGAAGATCAAACGTGAAACGTCGTCTGTTCTCTAGCAGACGACGTTTCGCGTTTGTTCTATTCACTCTATCCTCCCGTAAAAGCTCAGCGCATTAACGACACCGCACACCGTCCGCGCAAGGAGTAGATTAACTTTCGTATGCCGCCGTCATTACTCTCCTGGCGTGGGAAAGCACGTGCAATGGCAAGCCTGCCAACGGTACTTTCACGCACCCGCTGCGCGTGCTAGCACCGCTGGGGCCAACTAGAGTGCCTTCATACACACGCGCGCTTTTGCTTGAGTGGTGACATCTCAGCCATTTTTCCGCCCAATTCTCTTTTTATGCATTTTGAAGTGCGCGCAATCCGGTGTCACTCAGCTCGAGCGCGTAGCTTTGGCTTATGCATGGACGCCATTTTACCACCCATGTCACGCTCCGAGTGCGCGAGAGCATCACGTGCTGGCACATTCAGTACAACAATGGATGTCTTCACCCTGAGACACACAGACATGTAGGCACCCTAGGGCCAACGTTGCTGGGGCGCTATTAGCGGCAAGATGTTTTGGTGGCGCCCTCGTATGGCTACCTTTCCTGACGTCATTCTTGCGAACAACGAGTTCGATGGTGCTTGTAATTAGCATGGTGGAAGCTTGAAATCATTGCGCTGTCATAGCAACACTGCCAACACCGCCGTCAAAAATATTCTTACATTACTCTTATTTCCGTCGATTACAAATTCTTTTCAGTCAGCATTCCGCTAATCGTGTAAGGTAAAGCCCCTACATGTTTCAAAAGTAGCGCAATGTGCGTCGATGCACGAGGCACGTGCAACGTGCAGCCCTTGGGAAGATCATGGCGGCACAGTGCAGCACTAAGCTAGATTTCAGATGCCACGTTGTTACCACAAGTGGCGCGCGCGGCTTGTGTCTCGTGTATTTCCACAACAATGAATGGCGCCACTTTTCCCAGGATAGAGAGGCTTTAGCGTAAGGTAGAGTGCCTTCATACACACACGCGCTTTTGCTTGAGTGGTGACATCTCAGCCATTTTTCCGCCCAATCGTTTTTTTTTTTTTATGCATTTTGAAGTGGGCGCGTGATCCGGTGTCACTCAGCTCGAGCACGTAGCCTTGGCTAACGCATTGACGCCATTTTACCGCCCAAGTCACGCACCGAGTGCGCGGGACCGTCACGTGCCGCGCGTGCCACAGGGTGAAGTCATCCATTGACGGCAACAATGGATGACTTCACCTTGAGACAGACAGATATGTAGGCACCCTAGCGTAAGGCCGATTACAGCGACGCTTTCGATCGCTCACGTCTGCAATCGTCTACACATCCTCCATTCACATCTCAGCGCAGTAACATCCCTGCACTCTCTGCGCACAAAGCAGACGAACCCTGGAATTCGTGTCTACCCACTATATTTTCAAGCAAAGCTCCATGCAGTGACGTCACTGTATCATCTGCGCAAGGAGCAGACGAACTTTCGTATTTGTGTCTATCCGCTATATCCTCCAATCAGAGCTCGACGCAGTGACGTCACGGTATCCTTCTGCGCAAGGAGCACATGAACCTTTGCACTTTTTGTCTATCCTCCATATCCTCCAATCAAAGCTTGGCGCGGACACGTTCCTGTATTCTCTACGCAAAAAGCGGAAGGACGTTTTTCAACGAGAACTGGCCGCAATTCAAGCGCACGTCCCGCACTTTACCGATAATGAACGGAGGGCGCCTGTCGGATGCGCGCACATCTTTTCTTCCAAACCGCGCACCATCCCAGACGACCAAGCCTCCTCTTTTTTTTTCTTTTTCTTTTTTCTTTCGTTAGGAACTAATTGGAATGCGTGCCACAAGAACCGCACACGCGCTCGTTTGCGGGTCCGTGGGTTCTTCCGCCTGATTTGCGAATCGGGCCGCCGAAATGAACGTGGCGCTGCAATCGCGAGCGACGCACAATAGATAGCGCCAGAACAAAGAGAACAACCTCTTTTAGGTGAAAGGGGCCTGACGGGCCGTCACCCCCAATTTAACCGGGCGCCGCTTCGGCAGGCTGGGTGCGTCATCCGCGACCGCAGCGACAAATTAATTACTCCCATACGCAAACTGACAACCGCAAGCAATTTCAAAGACGCCCCCTCCCTCCCCCTTTCCCCTCCTCCCCCTCTTTCCCACTCCGCTGCGTAAACTTTCCGATAGACTGTGTGCACTGGCTGTCTGGAAAGAGAAATGCGTAGAAAAGACGTCTTTTTGCCTACAAATACGTTTTTTTTTCTTTAGCAAATGGATGTCTGTGCTATCGAGGAAGACATTCAACCGTCACGCCCGTGGCGGATAATTTGACCACCACACCCATGATCGGTTTGCTGACCGATTCGGGTATCTTTCCGGGTGGTTAACTCGACCGTAAGTGGAACTTTCGCGCAAAATCAGATTTTATTATTCGATGCGAGGACAGACTGACGGCTGCCACTTGGCTGCAACGCTGTATCTTGAGTTTCTCGTCCCTACGTACCCGGTCACGTGACCTCTAAATCCCTCTTGCGGGTGGGTTAACCGTCCGCATTGATCAGCAAATATCCAGCCATGGGGACAACAACGACGTGAATTATCGGTTTGTGTTTCTGACCCTGTGTTCGACTATCGTAGCAGAGCGACGGGAATGAGTTGAGAGCAGACTTGTGCCGTTGCTTGAAAAAATGTAATGGATTACAATTACAAATTACCGAGCCTCAACTGTAATGAATAACCGTTACAAAGTACTTTTGCTGAGAAGTAAGAGATATTGCTTTAGTCCTTACGTTACAAATTACTTTCACGTCACTTTTCCCGTACATTTATCGAGAAAACAATAAAAATAATTTTGATGCTTTCCAGAATGTTCTCCAACACTACCTTCCATATCTCACACGCCCGCATTATGGGAGTTCTCGTAAAAATAAAATACTGTATTTAAGAGAAATAATATAGATGCACACCATTCACCTGTAAGCTGCCAATGGACCGAAAGCATGCAACCACACCCGCCATCCCGCTAGCTTATGTCGACCGGAAATGACCCCTGTAATTCTGGAGACAAAGCTAGCGGTGCGCATGCTCAGTAATAGCGTCTACCTCCGCTAGGAGATCAAGAAGACAGCACCTACTCGGCGTTGTCTTCATGATCTTTGTTTTTCGCATATTACAGTGAAGCTGCGTAGGACTCGTTGGTCGAGTTTTTTCGTGTCGGTCGAGAGAA